ATAACCATCCAACTCATTCTTTATCCTGCTGTCAGACTGTACAATAAGTCACTTTAAGTTGCTTGCACTAGGACTTAAAAAAAAAAAAAAATCCTGCACAACTATTGCCACTGTTTCTTGATTGCCACTTTTATTGTACATAATATATCCTGCATTTAACATGTGTGCACACTTCATTCTTCGCACATTTTTTTTTTCTATCCATGTCAGATGTGACATGTACATTTCTCCTGTGTGAGATCAATGAAGTCTATCTCATCTTAATTTATCATATTCCCATATCTTGGTTCATCACTAGTTTTGCTGTTTCTTAGCTTTTTCCAGATAGACCCTGATTCAGCTAATTAGCTCATTTAGCTCTATGTATTTTTTGTCGTTGAATTTCCTGTGTTTGTAAAATCCTCCAAGATAACCTCTGTCTAAATTAGGGCCGTGTAAAATAGATTTAAGTGAAATTGAATCAGTATAATGAGTTTCATGTTGAACTTGTATAAATCTCCCCTTCAGTTTAGATCTGTGTGTCTATATTTCTACAAATATCAGAAAGATCAGACATGCAGACCCATAATTAAACAGGCCCTAGAACCGATCCTTGGGGGATTCCTGCAATATCGGTTAAGGAAGGTTCTTCTTGTCTTCTTAGTTGATAAATGTATATAGTTCTTCTATACCAGACAATATTGACAGAAGCAGAAACAGGTACATTGGTTTCTGGTCTAAAACTACAGAACGGATCATTCCTGCCTCTTTTTTAATGGTGTATATTGTTATAGTCAGAATTTCTTCAAATAATGACATGTGAATAAGTGAATACTGATAAGTGAGATTTAAGGAATGAAGGTTTCTTCTTGTTGAATACAGTTTATGCACATGAATTCACTGTAATTGTTTATTTTTTTGTTATTGTATGTTCTTTTATGTTTGTTCTGTGCAATACAAGAATAAAGAGTGAAATATGGGGTGGCTGAAATCTATTTATTTTTCTCAGCTCCAAAGTCTGGAAAACCTAATTACTCAAACTAGCAGGAAGCTATTGAAAGGCAAGAGACAACCATTATAGCATGATTAAGAGCTCCTAAAAGTAATTTTCCATTATTATACTCTCTATTGACAAAACATATCTCTATTCTTAGACAATGAAAGGTTCCCCAGAACACAACAACAATGAAGACTATATTTTTATTTTATTTTCACCATTTATCCATTTTGTTGTGGCTTCCTGTTAAAGCTGAAAGATGTTGCCATGTTTGGTGATTAATAACAAATATGAATCATTTTATTTTGCGCTTTTTGGACACTCATAGACGCTTCACTTGTCATTATTCTTTCACTCCATACACAGTGGTGATAAACTACTACTGTAGCCACAGCTGCCCTGGGGCACACTGACAGAAGCGAGGCAACAGGCTGCGCCATTGTCAGCCATTCACGGACACTCCAAAGTCATTCTAGGTACGTGAGTAGTTTGTTTTTCCTAATAACGACTGTGGCTGTTAAGTTGTGTAACACCACCACTGTGGCATTTAGAGTTCCCAGAGGTCTCCCATCACAGTACTTACCATACCCTGCCCTGCTTACCTACGGAGGTCTGACGTGTTCCAGCTTTTACATGATGGTGGCGCCACAGTATATAATTATTTGTTTCCAAAAGACCTGCGCCTGAAGCTAACAAAAGACCCTACCAATCCTGATGTCTTCTCTAAGTTGTAAAAAGTTTGCTACAAAAACTTGCGCTGGGAGAGAAAACCCCACATAGTCATGGGTGGAGGAGGTGTGTTGTTATCACGTTGTCAACACGTTGTGCTGCTGCTTCTACAATGTGCAAGAGTGTTTGAAATGTTGTAAAATCCTACACATTTCCCCATTCCTCTGTTCATCACTGAAATATAACCGACATGTCACTGTTTGTGTCTCGACGCCGATGTCATCAGTGGCGTTAGTTTTTGGCGTGTGATGTATGGCCCTTCACGGAGCTGGCTTTGTGCCGTATAATAACAACAATAAGAGTTAGAGACGTGAGTGACAGCGCTCTCTCCTCCAGGACACGTTTCTCTGGCACAGACTCCAAACACTGATGAGGCAGCTCCGGTAACAGTCGATGAATTATGCTCTTTGTGCCAGACACGCTTCCCCCACAACAACAACTCTGTAAGCAGCGCGGTCAAAAAGTCAAAGGGGAAAAAGAGGTCTGGAATGCATGTTGTTCATTTCAATTCAGTTTCTATTCTTCACAACATCTCAGATTTCTGATATATATTTAATAGTGAAACTTTGTGACATTGTGAAATGTTCATTTCTTCAAAAGCAATCTTTGTTCTGATTGGTCAGTTCTCGCCTTGGTTTTGTTGTTACCGTGACTACAGCTCTGCTCTCAGCCTCTTCCAATTAAATAGAGGTAAATACAGGAGCGCCAATTCTTGTCTTTGACTTTTTTTCTTAAGGGGCGTTCACACCGGACTTAACTTTGGCGTCAAAAGCGTCAGGTTTCCATTGAAAGTGAATGGTGAAGCGCGTCAGGTGAAGCCGAGAGCCCCGGCGTCACTTGACGCGCGTCAAAAGCTTCAAGAGTTGCGCGTACTACGCGCTCACTTGAAGCTTTTGACGCGCGAAACGCTCGCGTATCACAACAATCCCTTTGACGCCGAAGTTGAGCAAAGCTGAGCTTTTGAAGCTTTGACGCGGACTTCAACCAATCAGGAGACGAGGAGCAGCAGCAGCAGCAGAGGGTCTGTCTCTGTCATGAAGAGAAGTCATGTATCTGCTGCTGTTGTTTTATTGTCATTATTGTTATTAGTAATATTATTTGTATGAGTAGTAACATTCTGAGTAACAAAAATCATTGTACACATGCTGTGTAGTAAACGTAGTTTATTTAATATAAGAACAGGCTGACGATGGGTCTGGCTCAGAGCAAGGCAGCTCCGGGCGGGCAAGAGCCGATGAGAGGCAGGGAGAGGCAGGGGGAGGCGAGCGAGAGCCGGGGAGAGGCAGGGAGAGGCGAGCGAGAGCCGGGGAGAGGCAGGGAGAGGCGAGCGAGAGCCGGGGAGAGGCAGGGAGAGGCGAGCGAGAGCCGGGGAGAGGCGAGAGCCGGGGTTTGAGAACTCAGACTGGGCAAGTGACATGCGGAAGTACCGCTGAAAGCGAAACTCCTCCGTACGCAGCTCCTGGAGTAAATGACGGAACTCTGCAAACACTGTAGCCTCTCAAGTCTGTGGTGAACCCAGAACATGTTTTGTTGAAGCCCTACAACAACGTTATTTTCGCTTTATATAACAAATAAAGGCTCGCTGCTCATTGAAAAATCCACCGCTGTCCTGACTACAGGCAACAGAGAAGCTCCTCCCACCGGCGTCAGGCGCGTCACTCGCGTCAAAAGCTTCAAGCACCAAAATGACAAAACTATCCCGGCGTCAGTTGAAGCGCGTCAAAAGCTTTTTGAAGCTTTTGGTCTGAACGCGCCTTTAGGTTTACATGTTTATAAATCTAACTGTGTTTGAACTGTCATGTACAATGTAAGTAAATGTTTGAGCTTTTTGATTATTGTTTCAAAGAGAATAGTCATTTGTTAGTTAATGTTGCGATGTGTAATTTTGCTTTGTATAGTATTATTTTTATACTTTTTAATGACCCTGTCAGTGATTAATGGAATCCGGTGTGTTTCCTAAACAAGGTAGGATGGCGGTATTACTATCAAGTTGATATTATTATGTTTTAACTTCTACACTTTTCCCACTGGGTTTAGAGTTTTTTTGCCGATGCAGGAGGGTCTGATAGAGTCTTGTGAAGGTCTGACTAAAAGGACAGTGGTGATGATCCAGGACACTCAACATTCAACAACATTTATGGACATTTATCAACACTTATGGATATTGGTCATCTTCCTCACTCTTTGGAAGTGACTGGTGATAATCAAATGTGTTACAGCTGCAAGGCTAGTCGACGGGGTCTGAAGCTATGGTCAGACTCTGAGTTAACCCAAAATGCTCAGAAGTGGTTGGCCTATACTTGCTGACGCTCTTAAAACAAGATTTGTCAATGGGACAAAGCCACTTAGTCTTATTTTCAAGAACTGTTTCTTTATTTTTTAATTCCAAGGTAGACATTTGTAGAATTTTTTTTGACAATTTTGTGTTAAGGTTTAACTGTTAGCTTCCATGCCAAGTGTCATATAGCTCCCAAAACTATAAGCTGTAACTCTGACTACTCTACCACAATAAAAATGCACATAATAACTACATCGCTAAAAAAGCTGCAGGGTTTAAAGAGAAAAAATATAAAAGTAGCGATAAAAAATTATTTAAATGGTCCGAAAAGAGTTTGGATGACCAAATACGTGAGTTGTTCCAAAGAGTAACTCCACCCGCTGAGACTCACATTGATTTTTAAGTCGTTCTAAATGTAGCCATAGATATTTTTGGTTTCCTCTGAAGCTGTCATTATGGTCAACGACATGGAACGGTTTTGTAAATGTCAGTGTATGTTTGTTCATTGTTTTGTTGCTGTGAATCCCACCTCTGAGATAAAAGAATCTGGTTCCATTTACAGCTGCTGTCGGCTGTGAAGGGCTGGAAAGGTGTGAAGTGGTTCAGTTTCTAGTATAAAAGGTGTAAAGAGGCGAGATCTGTCATCAAAACACATATCGAAGAATTATGAATTGCCGGGGCACCTAATTTGTGTTTGTTTTATAAATTATACATTGTGTTCATCCCTAATAATTCATTCACTCTGTACAAAGTGGTGATAAACAAAAAACAATAGTCCCTTGTGACCCCAGCCTCCCTGGGAATACAAATGATGATTAGCATTTAGCTACAATCTGGCATGTTAACTATAAATGTTCATTGACATGTACTGTCCCTGTCAAAAAAACAAAGACATTACATTAGTATTTCAGCCACAGCAGCCCTGGGACACAATGACAGAAGCAAAGTAACCAGTACATGCAATCGGTTCAGAGGTAGAATTGAACCCAGGATCTTTTTGCTACCCACTATGCCATCATGAACAAGGGTAAGAAAGGGTAAGGATGCCAGCGCCGAGAGGCCACAATGCACATGGACAGCACTTTAAATATTACAAAAAGATAGGACCCAAGAAATATAACTGCAAAAACTGTTATATAAAACCATAATTAATTCGACAAAATCACAAGACCCAAAACCAAGAGGAAAATATCACAAGCAATCTCTATGTTTCATCTGCACCTGTGGACTGTCTACCCCGAACCACAGTCCCCTACCCCGAACCAGAGTCTCCTACCCTGAACCAGAGTCCCCTACCCCGAACCAGAGTCCCCAACCCCGAACCAGAGTCCCCTACCCCGAACCAGAGTCCCCTACCCTGAACCAGAGTCCCCTACCCTGAACCAGAGTCCCCTACCCCGAACCAGAGTCTCCTACCCTGAACCAGAGTCCCCTACCCCGAACCAGAGTCCCCAACCCCGAACCACAGTCCCCTACCCCGAACCAGAGTCCCCTACCCTGAACCAGAGTCCCCTACCCCGAACCAGAGTCCCCAACCCCGAACCAGAGTCCCCTACCCCGAACCAGAGTCCCCTACCCTGAACCAGAGTCCCCTACCCCGAACCAGAGTCCCCAACCCCGAACCAGAATCCCCTACCCCGAACCAGAGTCCCCTACCCTGAACCAGAGTCCCCTACCCCGAACCAGAGTCCCCTACCCTGAACCATAGTCCCCTACCCTGAACCAGAGTCCCCTACCCTGAACCAGAGTCCCCAACCCTGAACCAGAGTTCCCTACCCTGAACCAAAGTCCCCTACCCCGAACCAGAGTCCCCAACCCCGAACCAGAGTCCCCTACCCCGAACCAGAGTCCCCTACCCTGAACCAGAGTCCCCTACCCCAAACCAGAGTCCCCTACCCTGAACCAGAGTCCCCTACCCTGAACCAGAGTCCCTTACCCTGAACCAGAGTCCCCTACCCTGAACCAGAGTCCCTTACCCTGAACCAGAGTCCCCTACCCTGAGCCAGAGTCCCCAACCCTGAACCAGAGTCCCCTACCCTGAACCAGAGTCCCCAACCCCGAACCAGAGTCCCCTACCCCGAACCAGAGTCCCCTACCCCGAACCAGAGTCCCCTACCCTGAACCAGAGTCCCCTACCCCGAACCAGAGTCCCCTACCCTGAACCAGAGTCCCCTACCCTGAACCAGAGTCCCCAACCCTGAACCAGACTCCCCTACCCTGAACCAGAGTCCCTAACCCTGAACCAGACTCCCCTCCTCCGAATCGGACCTTTGGGAAGCTGGTATTGTTGTAAATGTGGTATACAAATAAATCTGACATTGTAAACTTTGTAAAGACCTCTGAGACGACTGCTGTTGTGATTTTCAGGCTGTACAAAAATGAATTCAATTGGATTGAGTTTATAGGTTACACAAAATAGATTAGAGCTATCAAAACATGCAATTAATAACCACCTCTTTAAGATTTGCCCTTGTTTCACCTAAAGGCTTATTTTCTGAGCTATAAAACTGTCGTAGCCACATATGTACTTTTAAAACCTTCTCCTTTTGGTTTGATCCGCTTTACTTTACACGTGTGCTCCGTCCAGCACAGACGACGCACTTTCATAATACTGTACATACTCACACATTTAAAAACCAAACACATAAAACAATTAAAACCTTTAAAAACATTTTTTACCTGTTTGGTGTGTTTCTGTCTTTGCTTTGGTGCCGAGCTGTGACAGAATGAGGGCACTTTGAAAAAAAAATGGTAATTTGGATCACATTTCTGTGATTAGTTTGCATATTTTGGTTGTTTTTTGTAGCCTGTTTTTTAATTGCATGATTAAAGAAATTCAAATATTTTTAGTCTATATGTTCAAAGCTTTGTATGTAGTATTTTGACAGCGCAAAAAAGATGTTATAATATATACTAAATATTGTCAAAGGAGACTTTTGATGCAAAATCTACCTTATTAATCCCTCATCAAGAACATATCTGGAGTTGTTTAAGACCCATCCATACAAGTCAGTTCTGGCTCAAACTTGTAACTCTCAGTCGTGTAGTTGTACGTTGTCATTGTACCACTATGACATCACACACTCAAAGCCGTCTGCCTTTTAAAACAAAGGTATTGCTCATAAAGGGATTTGGGTATTTTCTTATGTAAAATTAGGTTCTTTAAAAGGGGTTTGCAGTCAGAAATTCTACACCTCCCTCTGGTGGTAGCATAAGATAATGGCAGCCCAACTGCATTAATTAACCTTGACGTTTGTTTGACCATACATTTTCAACTGAAGAGGTTTAACATTCTAAAACAAGAATTCAGAAAGTTAATAGTCTCATTGTCATTTTTGATGGCCAAAATAATGTGTAATGTTTCTTCTTTAACACGTACCTGTATTTCCATCCATTTTCTTCCGATACATCGGTTGCGGGGGCAGCAGTCTAAGCAGAGACGCCCAGACTTCCCTATCCACACACACTTCCTCCAGCTCATCCAGGGAAATCCTGAGGTGTTCCCAAGCCAGCTGAGAGACATAGTCCCTCCAACATGTACTGGGTGTTCTTCTTTAATACATACATCTTGTTTTTCTCTTCAGTCCTAACTCACACCCCGTATAAAAGACCTTGAAATGAGTCTATCAAGATGTCCACAGAATGCAATCATTTGTTCTATGGGCCATTACTTTTATATCTGTTAGAAAAAACTGCAAAGATGTGAGCTCTATATTTTTTTTCGTTATAGAAGCTGCCTTCAATCAATGGTGGGATGTTGTTGAGTATTTTAAGTTAAAAAAAATAGTTATTATAAATAGGGAAATCAGATTCAAACAGAATAACATTATATTTTCTATGAGTTGTGATTTCCATAACGTATAATTGTGATTTTTGACAAATAATCTCAACACTGTGAACTGAGTAATTTCATATGGTTCCCTATTCCACATGAATGCACAGGAGGTAACAGCCTTCAATTTTAATATACATTTTCTCCAAACAACTAGATTACAGAAAATCACCACCAGCTGCACGTTTGAAGTAACCACATTTGGATAAACACAATAATCACATGAGATTGACAGCCTTTTGTTCCACCTATTCTCATTCTGTTTTGGTCGCTGATTCACTCCTGCTTTGGGTAAATTTGCTTGTGCATCGTAGCAATACTGCAGTCCATTCATTATCATTAGAAATTCAAGCTGAAATAGGCTGAAAAGACTGAAATATTACCTTTTGACAGGTTGAAATAGAGAAAAATAAAGCTGTCATTGTAAAGTGAATCATTTGTTTCTTCCGGACGCGTGTTGCAGGCCGGTGCTGTTGGTCATTGCCTCAGGAATGGTTTACAGAGGGAAAAAAAATTTCTGTCTTGTTTTGGATCATAACCTGCGAGATTGAAGGGTGGAAAACAGGTCGTCCTCGGAGAATAGGAGAGGAAGGTTGCATCACTGACTTGATGAAATCCTTCGAAGTCCAAGTCGAGTTGATACAACAAGAGAATTATTGAGAGAGAGATTTTAAAAAGCAGCTGTAGCTATGTGTATATGTTATTGGATTGAATGCAAATGTGGCAATTCATTTTCATTCCCTTTGTCTGTTTTTGGGTCGGGGGGTGACCAATACTTTATTATATATAAATTGTTTGCAGAAAGAGAGTAGGAAATTTATTTGGAAAACATTCATCCATCCAATTTCTTCCCCTTAATCAATTTCTGGGTCGGGGGAGTGTCAGTCAGAGCTGCACCCAGTACACAGAGCAGCAGCCCCTCACTGATCCTCCTGTAAGTGGTGAGTCCACAGGAGTCTTGATCTTTCAGTTGGGGGCTTCAGGCAAAGTGGGGTGAAGTGTCTTGCCCAAGGACACAACAACAGCAGACATAGTGGGAGTCGTGAAGTAGGAACCTCCAGGCTCAAAGGCCAATGCTCTACTAACTGAGCCACTGCAGCCACTGTTGTATTTGGAAAACAATTCTATTTTTATAGACTGTTATTAGAACTGCACTGTGGTGTGTGTCATGCCCCCAAATTTGAAATACACACTAAATGTATTGATTTATGTTTAATTTTCCCTCAAATTCAAGACAGCATCTTCAAAGACTACAGGGTGTAAACAGGGAGCCACTGTTTCCCCGAAATAATTCAAGCAAAACTGATTCCACTATGAACAGGACCAGAGGGCCTTTCTACTCTCACACACTTGGTATTCTCCCTAGAAGAGATCCTGTAAAGCATCTGCACAAAGAGAGCGAAGACTTGTGTGAATCAAATTACAAACCTACATAAACATTTTGCAATTTATGTATCTTCTCCACTCAGCTCTGACCTGCAGTGACAGAGCTATCAACCCGCGTGACCACTTAAAAACGTTAATGCCCATTTTGGGAATGCTGTTCATAAAATATATATATTTTTGAAAATCTTTATTTGTATTTTCACTCTTTAGTCATAAGGAAATCTAAAAAAAACTACATTGATGTGAAGCTGTTGATGGCATGGGCCCGACAGAGAAAACATATTGATTTTCCTGGAGCAGATGGAAACCCTTAATAAGAATAAAAGATTTAATATTGCATATTTTCCCATCACCGCAGAGATGCGCACGGGGATGGCAGGCCTTCACGCTGCCTTCATTCGACAACTTCTGATATGACGAGAATCACATTATGCACCGCCGCACCAGGCAATCTGTTTGTTTCTGAGAGCCTGCTAAAAACACATAAATATGCATCTTCACACGGGGCCTGATTTTTTTCTATTTTTATCTGCTAATACTGTACCGTAATTGTGGAGCTTCCTTGAAAAACAATACAGTCGGAATAATTACAGTAGGAATCCAATCGTGGAAAGCCCCCAGTCTTATCTAAAAAGGGAGGTTAGCGAGAACGGCTTTGAGTGTACAGATGCAGGCGCTCACAATTGAAGAATGCAATCCACTTAACATGGAAATTGTCCTTTCATCTGCAAAGAACTTAAGAGGCCACAAATCAGCAGTAAGGAGACCATTCAGCCAGAGAAATGACTTTTCTAACTGTACTCTGTGAACTCAACCTGGAACTGGACTTGAAGAAATTATGGAAGAAAACTGTTTTAATAACAAATAATAATGATAACTAGAAACTTGCAATGGCTGAAGCCATTGCGATTGACTGCGGAACAGATCTAATGTGGAAATCTGCTAAAAAAAATCCTTGAAATCCTTTAAAAGGCCTTGAAACTGTTAAAATACTTGATAGATATTTCTGAAACTCCTGAAGTCCTTGAAATTGTTGAAAAACGAATGAATATTTGTTTTTCTGTGGATTTTTATTGTGAAACGGAATAACTGATGATTGAAGGGTACACGGATTATTCTGAATACTATATTGTATTGATTAGCTATACAAAATTTAAACTTACATGTTACATATTAGCTTCCACTTAATTAAGAATTCTAAAATGCACAGGAGTAGCAGATCATTATGCATACATTTGCATTAACTTGCATATAAGGCATTTTAAGCGTCCTGCAATAGCACGGCTCATTCACTCAGCGCTCTTTAGTATTATCAGTGTTTTCTCCGAGCTGTGTGGCGTAGTGGGATGTCAAGTCTTTCGAT